TGTTTGAATCTAGAAGCTTGGTGACCCAGCCAAATGAATCACCAAACTGTTTGATCTAGTCAATAGGTCATGAATTAGATATTAATTTTTGTTTTATTTTAACAATAGTTTATCCATTTTCATATTAATAATAACTTTTATCTATCATATTTATTTTTTAATTTAATAAATATTAGAGATATGTCCAATTTTTTCTATAATTTTTTAAAACTTTTTATATTTTTATTATTTGAGGGTGGGCCTTAGTATAACAGTTGGGTTGCTCCATTGCAAATCTTAGAAATAGCCTCTCTATGTGTACAAGGATAAGATTGCCTATATATGTACCTTCCAAAATCCAGCATTAGTGGGAGCCTCATGCATTGGGCCGCCCTTATATCTTTTTTATTATTATTTAATTTATAGTAACATAATGAATCAACCAATTTGATTCAAAAACCTGTGTCACCTAGGGGTGCAATTTGGGCAGGCCCAACCTGAGCCTGGATAGACCCAATTCAAAATTTTACATCAACTAAATTTGGACTTTCAAACCTCGCATTGAGCATGGGTCCAAAACTTTGAGCTTTTTTATTTTTTTGGGTTGGGCCTAGGCCTAACTCTTAGGTAGTTCAAACCCGGCCCAAGCTTGGCTTGACTATACACATTCATATGTGCATATCTATCTATCTATCTCATATATATATATATATATATGTATGTATGTATGTATGTATGTATGTATGTATGTATGTATGTATGTATGTATGTATGTATGTATATATATTAGTAAATTTGCACGTGCTTTGCACGTGGCAATTTTAGATGATGAAGATAGTAATATACATCCAAATTATTTTAAAATTTGTATAAATGATATATTTAAGATACTTTATCACCAATAAATTGTGTTACTAGATCTATATCCAATACTTTGAACAATATAAATCACAATTTTCTTTTTCAAAATTGAACCAAAAAATGAAATTGTCATTTTGTCTAGGTGGTGGGTAAGATAAACCATTTGGGTCAAATGGGTCAATCTATGTTGTCATAATTAAGTAATAAAAATTATAGAAAGATAAGAATACAAAAAATACAAAATATTTGTAGAAAACATTTGGGACATCTATAATATAGAATTATTTTATACACATAGAAATATATACAAAATTTAAAATAATTTGGATGTATATTACTATCTTTATCATCTATAATTTTTATTATTTAATTATGACATCATAGATTGACCCATTTGACCCAAATGGTTTATCTTACCCACCACCTAGACAAAATGACAATTTCATTTTTTGGTTCAATTTTGAAAAAGAAAATTGTGATTTATATTGTTAAAAGTATTGGATATAGATCTAGTAACATAATTTATTGGTGAGAAAATATCTTAAATATATCATTTAATGAGAGGGAATGGACGTTAGTACCTTAAATATATGACTTAATGAGAGGGATTTGAATGAAGTGAAAAATAATAGTTCAAATTACATTTTTACCCTCACGATTAAAAAGGGATAAATTCAAATTACATTTTTTTTACATTTTTATATTTCCATGTGTATAAAAATAATTCTTATTTATGACACTTGTTTTTGTTTAATTTGATGAATATACAATATTAGAGATGCACCCAAATGTTTTATTCTTTTGCAAAATTTATGTATTTTTTCATTTTTTGAATTTTTATTATTTAATTATGACATCAAATATTGACACATTTGACCTAAAAGTTGAACTATTGACCTGGACCAAATAGGAAATAAATTTCATTTTTTTGTTGGTTTTAAAATTTTTATTTCATTTGTGTTATCAATAAAAACAATTTTTGTTTATGAAACTTTTTTTTCTTCAATATGATTAATATAAAATACTAGAGAAATGGCCCATTTTTTCTACATCTTTTATTTAACTATGATATCATGGATTCACCCAATTGGCCCAGATGGTTGAATGGGATTACCCACCACTCGGATGGAAGACTGGTTTTGGTTTTTTTTTTTTTTTTGTTAATTTGAAAAAAGGTAAATCAGTGAAACCTCCCATGAAGTTTCTAATCGTTGTTGAAATCTCCCCTGAAGTTTGGTGATTGCAATCACCTCCCTTGAATTTTCTAATACTGTTGCAAGTAGACCCCCCCCCCCCTCTTAGAATCCTCTAACAAGAGGTATACAAATGCCCAAAATACCTATGTAGTTATTATTGAGGCTAGTTTTTGCATAACAAACAATACAAACTTTAAATAACAAAAAAAGTTTAAAATTGTAACTTTACCTTTGAGGGATTAGAAAGGTTTGGGGTAGGTGTGGCCACAAGCTGAGCTGCTCACAAGCTGTTTGAGTTCGGCTTGGCTTGGTCTAAACCGAGCTTCGAGCTGAACTCGAGCCTAATATATAGGCTCGTTTGCTAATCAAGCCAAGCTCAACTCGTGACGCTCGCAAGCCTAATCGAGTATGTGTACATAGGTTGTCACCTTGGCTACTAAGGGAGACCTCGGCTTGGCACCTTGGCCACTGAGGGAGACCTCGGCTCAGCACCTTGACAACTAAGGGAGACCTTAGCTTGGCACCTCGATTGCTAGGGAAACCTCAGCTTGACACTTCAGTAGTTGAGGGAGACCTTGGCTGCTAGGAAGACCTTAGCTCGGTACTTTAGCAGTTGAGGGAGACTTGCAACCAAAGGTAGTCGAGCTTGAGCCGATCCGAGCTTGAACTTCTGAGCTTTTGACTCGAGTTGTGCTCAAGCTCAAGTTTCTAATTCGAATCAAGCTCGAGCCTGATAGTTTATGAGCGAGTCGAGATCGAATAGCCAGATAAACATTTTAGCCAAAGTAACTACATGGTTATTTTGGACAATTTCATGCCTCTTGTTAGAGGATTATAAGAGAAAGGTTATACTTGCAACTATGTTAAAACTCAAGAGAGGTGATTGCAATTACCAAACTTCAGGGGAGGTTTTCAACAATGGTTAGAAACTTCAGTGGACATTTTAGCATTATACCCTTTAAAAACATGGGTTTCATATTGTTAAAAATTATTTTTGTATTTCATAAAGATCTAATTATTAGAATTATTAAATAAAAAATACCTCAAATACAAGATTTAATGTTTGAGAATGTGAGTTAATACCTTAAATATAAGACATAATGAGAGGAAATTAAATAAGGTGAAAATTATAGATGATATTACATTATTAACTCTTAGAATTTAAAGAGGGACTAAATTCAAAAATAGGGGTAGTTTAGTAAAGTTCTACACCCTCATTGGTACTTTTAATAGTATAAATAAATATACTATATGTATATTTATATGTATGTATGTATGTATGTATGTATGTATATATGTATGTATGTATGTATGTATGTATTTATGTATGTATGTATGCATGTATAAAATGAAAGTAAATATACACAAAAATTCTGACTTTACGTGGAAATTTTAAATTATAATAAAAATTTTTATTATTAAATTTTGCATTCTATTTCCAACATAAATAAAATTATTTTTATTTAATATGACGAATATATAACATTAGAAATGTTCCCAAATGTTTTAGACAACATTCTATACTTTTTCATTTTTTGTGTTTTATCTTTTTCAATTATTTATTATTCAATTATGGCACCACGAGTTTATTTGAAAAGTTGGATAATTGACCCACCGTCTAGGTAGGAAAATAGTTTTACTTTTAGATCAATTTTAAATTATATATGTCATCTACATTATATAAATAATTTTTACTTATTACACTTAATCTTTGTTTGATACAATTAATATATTAGAGATGTGTACAATTTTTTTTATAATTTTTATATTATTTTGATTATTTATACTTTTTTTACTTTTTAAAGATTTATTATTTAACTATAAAATCATCAGTTAATCCATTTGATCCAACCCACGACCCAAAATGGAAAATAGTTTGGTTTTTAGACTTTTCTTGTTTTTTTTTTATTTTTATAATTCTTTTTATTTTCTATTTTTAAAATTTTATTATTTAATTATGACATGATTTCATTTCTAGGTTGGTTTTAGATTTGACATTCCATTTTCATCATTATTAATAAAAACACTTCTTAGATTTTATACTCATTTTGTTTAGTATAATGACAAATGCAATATTAGAGATATGCCCAATTATTTTTGTTTTTTCTATATTTTATATTTTATTTATTTTAATTTTTTATTATTACATTATGGCATTATTGATTAACTCATTTAACCCCAAATGGTTGAATTGCTTACCCACCATAGAGAGGGAAGAAAATGGTTTTGTTTTCAAATTACTTTTCAAAATATTTATTTTTATACTATTAAAATTAATGTTGTTGATTTAGTTAGTAGAATTTAATGATGAGAAAAATATATCTCAAATATAGGATTTAATGAGAGAATATAACTTAGATATGGGATTTAATGAGAAAGAAGATAATATGAAAATAGTTTTATTTCTAATTGGTTTTAAACTTTATATTCTATTTCCATAATTAATAAAAATATTTCTTATTTATCATAATTATTATTGTTTAATATGTTGAATATATGATATTAAAAACGTTCCTAAATTTTTCTTTAATTTCTATATTTTTTTTTTGAATTTTTTATTATTTAATTGTGGCAACATGAGTTGGCCCATTAATTTGACCCAAAATAGTTTAATTTTTTACCACCACCTAGATGAAAACATTATTTTTTCCATGTAGATAATAAAAATATAAGTTTTTTTATTTTATTGGAATTATTAATTTATTATATATGGATTTAATTAGTAGAATTTAGTGATGATAATAAATAAAAATACTTTAAATATATGATTCAATGATGATGAATGGGAGTTAATACCTTAAATGTGGGATTTAATGAAAAAATTGAATGTATTGAATAATAATATTCAATTTACATTTTTTACCATCACAATAAAGAGGCAAGAAAAATTGCAAAAATTTTAGAGGTTATTCGTATATATATATACCCCCTAATGTCACCCGACCTAATTAGGTTTCCATTTTGCAGGATCGGTTTTCAAAACACTGGAATAGGAATTCGGACACACGCGGTTTACTCAGGGTGGCCACTGTGGCGTGTGATCGTTGCCCTTTTATTGTTGGATAACAGTCTTTTACGGGAAATTGGAGGTGCACTTTCTTTTTCCTAAGAAAAACGGCCATGGCTACCCTTCTATCTTTCTCAGGTAGCCCTGTGGTTGTCTATCACAGAACCCATCCCACATCTCTTTCTTCTCTCAGACACTCGTGTTTTCTCACTCTAGTCAACCCCAAAAAGAAACTCAGAGGTTCATTCAGACACAATCGACCCATCTCAGCTCAATCCAATGGCGGCAACTCCGCAGATACCCCAGATCGCTTGATATCTGCTCTCTGCTACTTCTACCCATTCTTTGATGGAATACAGTATGGGAAATACGTCATTACTCAGTTCTCTCCCATCCAGATACTCTTGCAGCCGTTGGTTCCGGCTATTCGAGTCTTCAAAAGCTTCCCCTTCAATGGTTTTTTGGTGTTTCTGGCGCTCTACTTCGTTGTTGTTAGAAACCCCAACTTTAGTAGGTATGTTAGATTCAATACCATGCAAGCTATAGTTCTTGACGTGCTATTGATTTTCCCGGATCTTTTGGAGAGGAGCTTTAATCCGAGGGAGGGTTTAGGTTTGGATTTGGTGATGAGCTTGGACAGTACCGTTTTCTTGTTTCTCTTGGTGTGTTTGATTTACGGCTCAACTTCTTGTTTGCTGGGTCAGGTGCCCAGATTGCCGATTGTCGCCGAAGCCGCTGAGAGGCAAGTCCTGTGATTTTCCCATTTGATATTCAATTAACTGGAAATTCAGGAGGTCGGTCTTATTTGTTTCTGTCTACGATTATTAATTTGAAGACTTTCTTTGGAAGTTGTACAAATTTCTCCTTGGCATACTTTATTTTTAATTGTTAATGTTTGAGACAACTGAAATTACCCAACTGGATTTAGAAGTCCATACATTAGTTTCTTTCAACTATTTATATGATTTTAGGTTGTATGGTTGAGGTAATAGCAATTTAGTTACTGATTCTGATTTTTTCCCTCTCTGTCGGTTGACAATGCTGTTAGAGAATGATTATTGTCTTTCTAATACAATTGTCTCTATGTATAGTTCTGCTTTGATGTTTCAAACAAACTAGTAAGGGAGCAAAAACAAAATTCAGAAGGAAAAAAACTTCCATATGTACCTATCCCAATGTAAGAAATGACAAGACTAATAAACATCCTTGTTAAACATTAAGGAGAAAACTATAATCTTACCAAGTAGGGATGCTATGACTTCTAATAAAAAAAGATGGTCTTCATAGTGAAATAGTCTCTTTGATAGCAGGAAATATGCCCTCCTGACTTGGGATTGAATCCCGCTTGCACCTGGGTTGGGGGGGGGGGGGGTTATAGGTTTAGGGGAGGGGTTACCCCACATTCTGTAGCCCCTTGGAGCAAAAAAAAAAAAAAAAAAAAAAAAGAGAAAACAGTTTAATGCACTAAATTATATTTCATCCACAATTTCGTTAGATAATGTTGCTAAATCTGAAGCTTCTTAACAAAGTTGCCCAGTTAACCAGAAAAAGGTCCTTTTTTTTAATCAGAAGTGATCATGTAACCAAACTGATTGCCATGATTTGATGCTGACCAATTAAATATCAAATTGTGGATATCCAAGCAGACTAAATCAAGAAGGATCTCATCTACATTTGTATTGCCTATATTGCCAACGGAGCCAACTGGCTCAGTTGGTAAGGATCTCATGAATGAATTACTGGATTTAGGCTAGCAATTTGTTTTGCTCTTGAATGTAATGCACAGAATATTAGCAGGAAAAAATATGTATAGCACATGACAGAGATTCCTTTGCCTGAGACAGTTTTATTTAGAAATTCACAATTTATCTAAGAGGTTGTCCGTTCTTATTATACTTTAGAGATCAAGGTGAAGCTGACCATTTTTGGGGAATTTTGTCACAATCCCTGATTTGTAGGAATAGAGTCAAATAAGGAAGGGAATCAAGGGATGTCAGTTACTCAAAGTATATATATCTGGAGGGATCTACATTAGAAGGCCCTTGGGAATTGCAACATTGCATAAGAGAGGGAAGGTCATTGGGAACCAGGATGAACATCTTGTTCAACTGGGTCTTGAGATCAGCAAACTCTCTAGCAGATGGTCTAGCCTAAGCAAGTTTGCTAGAGCTTCTATGATTTAGGGGATGGGTTAACCATTATATTCTGCAGTTCATTGGTCAGTCCTGTTAGGTCCTCTTTTTGTGTGTGTGTGATCGTAGTTCTCTTTGAGAGGAATCTAAAATGCCTATTATTTAATGTAAGATCAAAAGTCCTCTCATAAAGTGATTAAGAAGTTTGTATCTCATCTTATCCCATTATTATTAAAGCAAGATTACATCTTGGAATAGGTACGCTAATTTTTAACATTTTAATTCTCTTGCATAGTAGCAGCACAGGTATGGTATGCGTACTGATGGTGCGCGATCTGGTTGCTTCTAGCTGGGTGGCAGCACGGATGTCGGTTGCTTAGCTGGCCGGTTGAATTGCAAGGAAATAGAGCTCAGAAAACCCGGCGTGGGCATTCAGATGCTTAACTTAGTATCTTAGCATATGCGAGCTGAAAGCTTGAGAGTAAGATAGCTAGAATGCACTAAATCGCGCATACCTTGTATCACTGGGGTAGGTCCCCTTATATAGATGAGCTACTGTGGGTCTCACGAAACACCTTCGAGATCCTTGGCCTGCGTTGTTAGGAGTTTGTTTCGCACCAGGAGGTGGACTTCATGCTAGCCGATAAGGCTTATCGTGCCTGTCCGATCCGGGTGGGATGAGAGTATAAGACCCAAGGACGTGCGGCGTGATCCCGTGAAACTCGGAGACAGCAGGCTAGCTTCTAGAAGTTGGCTACGTTTCACTTCGGCAGTTCAGGGCACCACGAGCTGCTCGAACGTTGGTCCTGGCCGAGGTGACCTGTCATGCTGAGGTGGCAGAAAGTGTTGAGTCAATGTCCAATCAGCAGGTCATTTCCACGTGTTCATGTATCGATAGGTTGGGCCAAATCACCCCTCATCACGTACCATACATGTTAATCCTTAGATGTGTACCCCTGGGGTTGTCATAGTTATATATTTATATTATAGAATTGTCAAAAATTTTGACTTTTACCCTTATAGCAATAGAAAATCAATGAAATATGAAGTACAAATAAAACTTATTCATGTAAAAATTTAGTGCTGGTATAAAAAAGATATTAAAAATAAATTAAATAATTAGGAAGTGATTAAAAAGAAGTGTAAATTATAAATTAAAATTATATGTACTTGATCAAATATATGACTCCTAGGGGACAATTCCTCTTTGTAATGAAACTAAGGAAAAATTAATATTATTTTTGAATTATTTATAGAAAAATATGCATACTTTATGAAGCTTACAATCCACACCTTAAGGCTTGCACATCACACCTTAGGCAACTGAGATGCCTTCTCTGGTAGTCCGGTTATGACATGCCTCCATGTCTGAAAACACTTATCTGTACATTCCAGTCAATGGATGATAACATTCAATTGGACTATATTCTCATTCTTTTTTTCTTGTCTGGATAAAAAATCAGATTTCTATGTATAATGGTGAATGGTCACGGACAGAGAAAAACAAATTTCAAATAGTGGCAGTCAATTTGATGAGCAGACTTCTATGCAAGTGAGACAGTTATACAGTGGAATTGTATTTCTGGGAGTCTGGATTTCCTCCTCACAGAATGCTCTTCACACCCACCTCACAGCACATTGCAGCCGCACATCAGGAACATCTCCCATACTTGTATGTTTTCGTTCATAGGGAGATGTTTTCATTTTCTGTTGTAAGGAGTGTTTCTCCTTTTTCGGGTGGTGCTGTCTTAGCACCTGCGTTGTGGTTGTATCCAGTTTTAATGAATTTTTTTTTTTCTTTTTACTATGAAAATTTGTTCCCAAGTGCTGAGAGGTGAGTGTGAAGAGCATTCTGAGGAGGAAATCGGGATTCTATCTCTGGAAAAATGCCATGCTGTTTCCTATTTCCTTGTAAATCAGTTAATCAGCATTCTACCATAGGATGTACATCTATAATTGGTTACTGTAGGCATTCTTATCTGGATTTGATGCCAAAATCATGAATTTGAATCTGAAAGCAAGAATACTTCACAGTTGGTGATTTAGAGGTGATGTTTGGCATCGGTGATGATTCCTAACACCTGATTTTGTAAAAATTGGTGATTACTGAAATCAGTGATTTTCTAAAAATCACTCTTTTTTGTTATTTAGTATCATTTCCTCCATGTCAGCCGATTTTTTAGAAATCACTTTTGAGATTGTTCGGTATTGATTTTCAAGAGTGATTATTTTTCATTGAAGCACTGGAACATCTCGCCCTTGCCACATAGGATGTCACCTCACCCAACAAAAATCAGAATCGCCTGAAAATTGGGGAATCACTGAATGTGGTAATCCCTTGCCCAAGCCAATTTCAGGGATCGATTTTTTGCATAATTGACCAACCAAACAAGGAAAAAATCACTGATTCTTCAATTTCTGATGTGGATCTGACGTGGCACCGATTTTTAGGAAAGCAGCATCGATGCCAAACATCACTTACTCACTTAAGAATCTGGGATAATTTTGACTAAGAAATCAGATATTGTTTGCCATGCTTCTAATATTGCTTCTGCAACAATATTGTTGTTATTTTTTATCTTCAAGAAATGATTAGTTTTTGTTTTCTTTTCTTTATGATTCAATAAATTGATTGCTTTTTCAGTGACTGAAAACTGACCTTGCACCTCTGAGCTTGTTCTGTAAGTCTTATTTACACCTGACTTTAACCTAGCATTTTTTTGACCTGAAGTATAGACAAAAAAGGGTAAATTGCTGAAACCTTCCTTGAAGTTTCTGACCATTGCTGAAACCTCCTCTGAAGTTTAGTGATTGCAATCACCTCCCCTGAACTTTATGATACAGTTGCAAGTAGACCCCCTATAGTAGAATCTTCTAAAAATGGCATGAAAATGCCCAAAATACCCATGCAGTTACTATTGAGGCTGGTTTCTATGGAAAAAAAAGCATTACAAGCTTTATGAACAACAAAAACAAGGAGAATATAAAGTTGCAGCTTTACCTTTGAGTGATTGATATGAAGGCAAATTTGGAAAGTAAATCAATTTCAGAAAAGAGATTGGAAGGGTTTGGAGTAGTGATTCTTTTTTTTTTTTTGGTAATAGTGATTCATATGAAGAGAAAATTTGGAGAACAAACATTTTTGTTAAAAGTAATTGCATGGGCATTTTAAATATTTTCATACCTCTATTTAGAAAATTCCACCGGAGGGGGTCTACTTACAACTATGTCGAAAGTTCAGGGGAGGTGATTGCAATTACCAAACTACAGGAGAAGTTTCAGCAACAACCAGAAACTTTAGGAGAGGTTTAGTGATTGCAATCACCTCCCCTGAACTTTATGATACAGCTGCATGTAGATCCCCTCTGGTAGAATCTTCTAAAAAAGGCATGAAAATGCCCAAAATACCCATGCAGTTACTATTGAGGCTGGTTTCTATGGAAAAAAAAAAACAATACAAACTTTATAAACAACAAAAACAAAGAGAATATAAAGTTGCAGCTTTACCTTTGAGTGATTGATATGAAGGCAAATTAGGAAAGTAAATCAATTTCAGAAGAGATTGGAAGGGTTTGGAGTAGTGATTCATATGAAGAGAAAATTTGGAAAACAAACATTTTTGTTAAAAGTAATTGCATGGGCATTTTAGATATTTTCATACTTCTATTTAGAAAATTCCACCCGAGGGGGTCTACTTGCAACAATGTCAGAAAGTTCAGGGGAGATGATTGCAATTACCAAACTACGGGAAAAGTTTCAGGAACAACCAAAAACTTGAGGAGAGGTTTCAGCAATTTACCCCCCCCCCCCAAAAAAAAAAAAAAACTATAGAACTTGCGGAAATGGAGATATGTTTCCACCTTGAACTTGGAACAATGCATGTTCCGC